AGGCTTCAATGGGATTTCCAGTCCTAGTTTTTTGTTTTTTTTTTTTGGCGGGACCAGGGATTGAACTCAGGCCCTTGCACTTGCCAAGGAAGCGTTTATTCCACTGAGCCATCTCCCTGACCCCAAATGGAATAAGGTTTTTTTTTTTGTTTTGTTTTGTTTTTTTTGCTCCGAAGGCCCTCAGGAGTGGTTTGGCTGGCTGAAGTGTTGTGGGGATTGAACTACAGCAACCTGAGGCTGACAGGTTTGTGGAAGCAGCCAAATGGAAAGCTTTTTCTTTTATTTATTTATTTTTTGGTGGAACCAGGGATTGAACTCAGGCCCTTGTGCTTGCCAGGCAAGCACTTAATTCTACTGAGCCATCACCCAGCCCTTCCAGTCCTAGTTTTTTAAGGAGTCTCCACACTGATTTCCATAATGGTTGCACCAGTCTACACTCCCACCAACAGTGGAGAAGAGTTCCCCTTTCCCCACAGCCTCTCCAACATTTGTTGTTGGTTATTTCTTAATGATAGCCATTCTTTCTGGGGTGAGATGGTATCTCAGTGTTGTTTTAATTTGCATTTCATGGATGGCTAGTGATGTGGAGCATTTTTTCATATATTTATTCGCTTCTTTAATTTCTTCCTCTGAGAAGCGTGTGTTCGTCTCCGATGCCCATTTCTGGATTGGGTCTTTAAATTTAGGGGCCCTAATGTTCTTTAGTTCTTTATAAATTCTAGAGAGCAGACCTTCGTCTGAGTGCTTATTAAGATTTTTTTCGAAGTTTGTGGGTTGTCTTTTCACTTTGTTGATAATTTCTTTTGACATGAAAAAACTTCTCAATAAGAGGTGGTCCCAGTTGTTAATTCTTTCAAGTATTTCCCGTGCGATTTGATTTTTGTTCATGAACTCTTTGCCTATCCCTATGTTTTCAAGAGATCCTCCTACTTTCTCTTCTAGGAGATTTAGTGTTTCTGTTTTAATGTTTAGATCTTTAATCCATTTTGACTTTAGTTTAGTGTATGGTGATAGACCTGGGTCAAGTTTTAGTTTTCAGCATGTAGAGAGCCAGATTTTCCAGCACCATCTGTTAAAGAGACTATCTTTCTTCCAGTAAGCGTGTTTGGCCCCTTTGTTGAAGATCAGGTGGCTGAGTGTGTTCCTAGAGGCCTCTGCATTTACTAATCTATTCCATTGATCCTCAGGTCTATTTTATTGCCAGTACCATGCTGATTTTATTACAGTAGCTTTGTAGTATAATTTCAAGCCAGGAATTGTAATGCCAACAAGAAAATTCTTACGAAATTTACAACTACTGGCTCACATGTTAATGTGAAGAGGAATAGCTGTTTTTCCTCTTCATTTGAATCTTGGCAGCCTTAACTCTCTAATCTTAAGAGATCAAACTTGATTTAAAAGCCCACTTAGAACAAACTGCTTAGTTGGAAATCTGGACTTCACAACTAAGGAGTCTCTTGGCCCACAAAATATGGAGGGAAACTCCATTCTGTCTAAAAATGTAAAACTTTATTTTTATGTAATGCTGTATGAGCCAGTGATAGAATAAAACCAGGAAATCTCCTTGCCTTTAGGTTGTCAAAATTCTTAAACCGAAGCTGTAAAATAACTCCCTTATATCATAAATACTTTTTACACATAGATAATATTTATTGTTTTTCTTTACATTGTAGTATTCAGCGGGGCTGGCTGGCATGTGGTGCTGGGGGATTGAACCATGGTCCCTGTGCTTTGCTAAGCTTGTTCTAAGTAGGTGCTTTAGACCACTGAGCCATCTCAGCAGCCCAGGATTTACTCTTAACTCATGAATTCCTCAGTGTCCTTAATTAAGTCACAATTTCATTTTAGTGATGTCTAACTCTCACATTATGATTATTTTGTGAGATTTGAGTTTATTCATGCTAACAATCAGTGGTTCTATTTGAAAATTGAGAACTATGAGTAATTTACCACCATTCAGATCTCAAGACTATTGCATTGTTTTCATGAAAATTACCTAGTTTTAGTGTATTGTCAAAACACTTTAACTCATGATGTGATATTACACCTATCCCTCCCAGTTTATATAACATTGCCATCTCATGCTAGACTAGTAAATTAATGAAAAGCCTGATTTCCCAGCAGGTCAGTGATTGCATCTGGGTTTCATTTTGTAGTTAGGCAATACGGTAAATTGAAAAGATATACATCACTTTTACTCCATGCCATTGCTATGATCACTCTTCCTGTTGATTTATATCCATCCACAAATATTGCTATACTCAGGCCCTTGCGTTAAGTGTCCTCTGAAGTCCATTTGGGTAAAGTCTTGCTCCTCAGGGAGGCATTATTGAGATGTGGTGGAGCCTAGTGAAAAACTGTTTAGGTCAGTAAGGGTGATCCCCAAAGGGGATCATGGGCCCCCAGTCCTTTTCTGGCACATGCTCCTACCATTGCCATCTGCTACACCAAAGAGAGACCTAGAAGCTGTGGGCTCCCTGATCATGAACTGGGACCTCCAAAGTTGTGAGCCAAAAAAATCCTTTTTTCCATTACAAGTTGATTATCTCATGTATTTGTTATAGTGATAGAAAACTGACTGACACAAATATATTTGAATATTCACATAAAACATTTCCAGTGATTTTGTGTCACTTCCATGTTTTATCATGCCTTGTCTAAGTTAGTACAACACCAGCCTTTAATATAATCTATATAAAAAATTGTCCATAGTGGGAAAACAAATACTAGAAATCTAAATTTCGCTCTGGTTTGAAAAACTCTTTCCTACTCTTGGAAAATCTTTGATTCTATGGAAATTATGGAAAGTATGAAGTATAGAAATAAAAGTTACATAACCTAATTCATGGTTTTGTTGTATTTTTAGGATAGGAACTTCATATTTCAAATGCATTTATTATAGATCTGTATTGCTAGAGGGAACCTTAGAGATTATGCTACAAATATCTTCAACTGATCTTAAATTTGTACTTTTTCAAATATGCGTATAGGTATGTATTTTTAATTTTTGTTAATTTTTTTTGTTTTAAAATATCTCTTCTTGTGCTTGCTTCAGCAGCGCATATACCAAATATCTCTTGTTGAAGTACTTTCAGAGTGTTATGACTTATGGCTTTAATTTTTTTTATACTTTTTTTTTCTTTTCAAAATTTTATTGATAAACAGCAATGAGACAGTTTCAAATCAAATCGGAAGTACAGTTTCAACAAATAACATACTGCATATATTCTTAGTGGTTAATTGCTGTACAAGATGCGGACTTGAGATCCTATTTACAAACACCATTAGAACAAATCATTCTATTCATTAAGAGAATGCAACTATATATCTATCCTAACCACTTTGAATACACAGATACAAAATGGACATTCATCGGTATACTATGGCTTTAATTTTGGAGATATATAACTTGAACATAATTTTGTCTAAAGTGTTTTTTTGTTTCTTGAGAGGGTTTTTTTTTTTTTTTTTTTTTTTAGTAAGGGTCTACAGGGTCTTACTACATAGATCAGACTCGTAGTGATCTGCCTGTGTTCAGCCTCCCAAGAGCTAAAATTACAAGTGCGTGCCAACCACATCTGGTCTGGGAGGGTTATTTTTATTTTATTTTATTTTTTTGGTTAGAACCGGGTATTGAACTCAGACCCTTATGCTTGCCAGACAAGCACTTATACTGAGCCATCTGCCTGGCCCCAGGGTTATTTTTTTTTTGAGACAGTGTCTCACTATAGTTTGGAATGGCCTTGAACTCACTGTGTAGCCCAGGCTGGCCTTGAACTCACAACAATCCTTCCTCGGCCTCTCTGGTACTGGGATTACAGGTGTGCACCACCACAGCTAAAGTGCTTAATTATTTATGAGACACTTTTGCATCATTTTATTTGGTCCTTCTAGCAACTCTGTAAGATAGACGTGACACACTGACCTGTTTGCTTTTCTTCTGTCTGTTTGTCTGTCCATCTATCTATCTAACTAATGCCTAGCACACATTTAACTTGCCTTTTGAATGGAATAAATATTTCAAATAAAATTAAGGAGTTTTTTTTTTTTGTGGAACCGGGGATTGAACTCAGGCCCTTGCGCTTGCCAGGGAAGCGCTTATTCCACTGAGCCATCTCCCCGGCTCCCTCAAATAAAATTTAGGATAAATTTTGTTTTCAGGTGATCAGATGAAAATATTATTTGATCATGCACAGAATGGTATTTTGAGCAATTTTTGAAATCTATAATACTCTTAGTTTTTATTTTTATATTTTTGTGTTCACTTTGGCAGCACATACACTAAAAAATATTTCTACATTTTTATTGTGGCAGAATATTTACAAGAAAAATTTACTGGGCCAGGTAGATAGCTCAGTGGCACAGTAAGCCCAAGGTCTTGAGTTTGATGCCTGGTACATGCCCCCTCACCAAAAAAAAAAAAAAAAAAAAAAAAAAAGAAAGAAAGAAAACTTGTCATTTCAACCATTTGTAAATGTACAGAGTTGATGTTTATTATATTCACAATGTTATGCAATCATTATCACTTTCTTTTTTTGAGTTAGGGTCTCACTAGGTTGCCAGGTTGCTCAGACTGCCTCAGTGTCCCCAACTGCTGAGATTATAGGCCTGTTCCACCAGGCCCTAATTCATGACCAATATTTCTAAAACATTTCATGATCCAAAATAGAAACTATGCACATTAAGCAGTAACTCCCCATTCTCCTTTCCCTGAAGCACCGAATAATTTCTCATCTTCTTTCTATTTTATGAATTTGCCTATTGTAATTCATGTAAGTGGAAGCGTATCTTTTCTTTGGTGCCTAGATCATTTCACTTGGCATATGTCTAGTAATTGTGCTGCAGCAGTGAGCACTTACTTAGCATATTTGTAAAGTTCTTCCAGATTATATCATATATAAGAAATCCATTCCTTTTAAAGGTTAAAATAATATTCTATTTTATGTTTATACTGCATTCATCTGTGGATAGACATTTGGGTTATTTCTATTTTTATATCTATATCTATGGAACACTTCATGAATTTTTGTGTCATCCTTGTGCAGGTGCCATGCTGATCTCTGTATCAGTCCAATTTTAGTATATATGCTGCCAAAACAAGCACTGGGTTATTTCTGAAGTGTTTGTGTTTTTTTTTTTGTTTTTTTTTTTAATGTATTTAGTACAGGGTCTTACTACATAGATCGGACTCATAGTGATTCTTCTGTTTTTAGCCTCCCAAGCACTGGGATTATAGGCACACGCCACCATGCCCAGTCTCAATCTCAATCTCAGTGTGCCCCTGGCCAGGATGGAACCCTGACTGCTGCACTCTGCCTCAGCAGGTGCTTTAGTCCGCTGAGCTACCTGGCTATTTGTTCCTTTGTTGAAACAGTTTCACTGTGTAGACTAGGCTGGCCTCAAACTCATGATCCTCCTGCCTCAGTCTCCTGAATGCTAGGATTATAAGTGTTACTGACTGCCTCCAGCTTCCTCCCCTTCACCTTTTCTCAGTTCTGGGAATTGAACCCAGGGATTTATAGGTAAGTGCTACAGAGCTAAGCTACATTCCCAACCTTTTATATTTTACTTTCAGGACCAGGGATATAGCTCAGCTGCATAGCACCTACCTGGCAAGCATGAAGTCCTGAGTTCTGGGTTCTGGACTTCAAGTCCTCAAGCATGAAGTCCTGAGTCTTGGTAACTCCCCCCAAAATTATATATATATATAACTTTGAGACTGGGTCTCCCTCAGTTTCTCAGGCTAGCTTCACACTTCCAGTCCTCTTACCTCAGCCTTCTCAGTAGCTTTGATTACAGATCCTACCATCTTGCCCAGCTTTAAAGTTATTTCCCTTGTTAGTAATATAATTAAAATGTTTACAATTTGTGATAAAATTAGAGGTTTTGCTTTGTTTACATTAGGAAGGTTTATTGGGTAATAAGAGTGGGGACTAGAAATAACTCCTAAGAGACAGGTGGGATCCCAAATGGATTGCCCTAAAACTATACTTTAATGTGGTAGAAAAATCTCAGGACTAGAGTTTAGAAGGCCTGCATTCTAATTCTAGTTGAGATTAATAAGCCACGTCAATTTTGGCACCTTTATTTTCTCATGTCATTACCTTATTTTTAAAACAAGATCAGATAAAAGATTGCTAAAATCCATTGCTCCATGCTCACCTCCAGTGTGCAAAGCCCTGGTTCCATGCCCAGCATTATAAAATAAATTTAAGAAAAAGAAGTTTATTGGTCTAAGTTTTAAGTGTCTGCCATATAGACATTATTAAGTACTTACTTAAAATGATCAGCACTGGAAATAGTGAGAAGTATGACATTTATACATTTTTATTTTCAAGATTAATAATTGCACGGTTCCCATTTTGTTAAATTGCATTTCAGTTTTAAGACACAATTTTGAAATGTTCTGTTGTTTTAAAAAAAAACAAACCATTGAGTTTCAGAAGAGAGGTTGGCTGTTCATAATATGTATTTTTAGTTAACATCAGTGCCTAAATTTACTGTTACTGTTAAAATTTACAGAACATTTTGCTCCCTGAGAAATGATTTTGGCATAAAACATGTTGACATGATTTCACGTATTTTTGACCAAAGTGTATTCCTTTGCCTGTTTTCCATTTTAGTTCACCATTAGCATAGCCCTTTCTAAATTTCAGCTATCTGACTTTCAGAATGTGTAGTAAGGTGAGAGTTTTTAAATTAAAGACACTATCACTCAGGTTGTGATATTTATTATGTGTAGCTTATTTTTATGAGGGCATCAAAGTTGGGCTCACTCAGAGGTTTGAGAACTGACAGAAATTATGTCATATCTACTTTCAGAATACAAAACTACAAAGTAAAAGACAAAAGCTAAATGTAAGAAAACTTACATCAAGGATTCGTATAAATCAAGGCTCAAAGAAAAAACAAAGCACGATTGATTATATAATACTGCTGTGTTCTTTTGAGGAAAAAAAAAATAGCCAGGCATGGTTTTATTTACCTGTAATACTTGTTCTTGGGGAAGCTGAGGCAGGTGAATAACAGGTTCCCGGTCAGCCGTGGCAACTTAGCGACTGAGATCTGGATTCAAATAAAATAAAAAGGGCTGGAGATGTAGTACCATGCAAAGACCCTGGATCTAAGCCCTAGTGCTACCTCCCCAGTTTTTATTTAATTTATTTGTTTTTTGATCTGCTTTTTTTTTTTTTTTTTTTTGTGGTACCAGGGATTGAACTCAGAACCCTGTGCTTGCTAGGCAAGCACTTATTCTACTGAGCTATCTCCCTGCCCCTGGTCTGCTTTTTAAATTTGTTTGCTGATGTTTGTTTGTTTCACAGACTTGGGGTTGAATTCAGGGCCTCTACACTGAGCTATATCCCCAGATCTTATTTTTTGAGGTAAGGTCTCAATAAGTTTGAATCCTCCTAGCTCTGCCTCCCAAAGTGCTAGTTATGTGCAACCATGCCTGACTTAATTTTTTTTTT